AACTTGAACCATAGTTTTGATACTCTTAATGAAAATGGCAAAGCTTTTAAGACAGTCTAAAAAGATTAGTCAATGATTAGTCTAAAAAGTTGACCAAATTTTATGAGAGGAAGTTAGATCAACTAATAAATGATTAGTCAATAATAAACAATACTTCCTCCATCCCAAAAAATACTTCTCACTTTCCTTTTTGGGTTGTTCCAAAAAATACTTCCCACTTACTCAAAAAGGAAACTTTCTACTACTAATAAAAACCCTATTTTTCCCCTTTTGATAATTAACCTCCTCACTTACTCTCTTTCCCACTTACTCTCTTTCCCACTCTTTGTTCGGTCCATTATTCCTTCACTCTCGCACTATCTAACCTCCCTCTCTCTGTCTCTTATAGCTCTGATGCACCGCCTCCCCTCCTACACTCTTTCGTCCCTTTCCGATGCACTCTTTCTCTTATTTCAAATCCACTACACCCTAGCTTCTCTATTGATATAATTGTTTGTCCTTATTTGAAATCCCTAAACCTACGACCCGACTTCCATGGATCTAGAATCAATGTGAAGATCTAGGTCCATGGTGTGCTTGCATGGCGGGCTGATGGTGCTGGATAGTGAAGTCGAGCCAGACGACGAATGTGGTGAAGGTCAGATGGACATTGTGGTTCCGAACACCGAAGTGGAGCTCAATGTGGACGATGGTCAAGCTCCGGTGGACCTTCTGGTTCCAGACACCAAAGATGTGTTGGATGAGGACGACGGTCAAGGTCCGATGGAGCTAGTGGTTCCGGATAGTGAAGAGGAGGGTGATGGTGAACGCCCCAACGAGGTTGTGGTTCACGTATAGTGAAGAGCAGAAGGAGAAAAAACGGAAAGAGGTGGAAATGCACCCTCTACGCTCAAATCCTCGTCTATAGGCTTTCTTAAAAATCATCCTACCCGGCGGGGGATTTAGGATGTGGGATGTGGATGTATTCGTTCTTTCTCGATTAGGGGAGTTTCTTTCTTAATCTCTTTTCGACTTTTCGTATGTTTGACTCCTTTATGTTGCTTGTGTTTATGTGAGCATCGTGTAAGGTTATTGTTGTGGACTTGTTTGTCTGCCTTGGCTTTCATATACGTTGTGTGTGTAGTGCAGTGTTTGTTTTGGGGCAACAATGATGAAAATATGGTGTTTCTTTTTATGAAATTGTTGACAATGATGAATATGTAGGCTAGTTAAGGAATGTGTGAAGTTTGGTTGGTATGTATCTAGACTTGTGTTTCTGTGATCACTATGTAAGGCAATTGCGATGAGCATATGGGCTGAGTAAGGTTAGTGTGAGGCTGCAATGATGACTTTTTAAGTCTGAGCAATGTTTGTGAGGCTGTTGTGATGACCATATTGGTCTGAGCAAGGTTGAGGTTGCAATGATGTCAATTTGATTATGAACATGTTTTTAAGTATGTTGTGATGACCATATTTGTCTGACCAATGTTTGTAAGAGGTTGCTATGATGATTTTTTAAGTCTGAGTATTGTGACCAATGTTAGTGTGAGGCTGCTACGATAAGTAATCTGTGAGACTACCTTGATAAGCATTGGGTATGAGAAAGGTTTTTGTTAAGCTACAATGATGAAATATTTTCTGAATAGCTTTAAAACTTATATAGGCCTCTACACAACCACAACAAGTATATTGGCCTCTACAGAATGACAAAAAACTAAACCTCTACAAAATGATAAAAATCTAGAAATTATTCTTTTTCTGAGTGTATTAGTTTTACAAAAATGACAAAAAAAAACTAAGAACTATTCTTTTTCTCCTACATATAGGGCTAACTACTCCTATGAGTCTCTTGGTTTTACATGTACACATTTGATCATACAGACTCTTATGGCCTGTAAAAAAATGACAATAAAGGTCTATACAACAAAACCCAAAATCATTTATCATCCTACTGCAGTGCAGTTCTTCATCCTCTTCAATTATGAAATGCCCCCCCCCCCCCCCCCCCCCCCCCCCCGGTTTGGATGTTGGGACAAGAAGCCTCCTATGGCTTCTACCAGTCCAACATGCATCTACCTCAATAGCAATGAGCAGCCACCCGATTGTTATCATTCTATCATTTCCATGGTGTGGTAGCTTGTAATTGTTCTCCCCTTCCACTTTCATAACTTCTACCATCACATAATGATAGCTAAACCACACCTTGTTCAAAGTGATGAGTGAAAGCTGATAGAAAGCTTCATTAACTACATGTAATAGTTCATCAACATTTCTGGGTGCATTTTGATCTTTCATTGATTGTATTGCTCGGGAGAATCCAAGGTCTAGTATGTTAAGATCTGGGGAATTGGGGGGTTGGTTAGTCAGTCTTATATTGAATCCATCTCCTTGGGATGCAGTCATGTAATCTGCATCTGAGCTTAACCACACCTTGTTATGTGTAGGTTGGTTGGCAAAGAAGATGAAAGAGGAGCGTTAATGAAAGCAGAAGTGGAATGCACATTTATGGAAGTTGCCATTTATGGAAGATGAACTCCAGATCTCATTTATTATGTGCGTGTGTGTGGGATGTGTGCGCAATGTGTAGTGTAGTGTCTGTAATGTGAGATAGAATAGGGAAATGGGAGTGTTTGTAGATGGCAAAATTAGAAACTCCCTCTAAAAATAGGCGGGAAGGTGTATTCAAAGCAAATTTTGGGTGTTGTACAATTCACCTTTTTTATTACATCTATCAAATCTTTTGTTCTTTTACTTTTATTTCAATTACTGTTTTGGTAATAAAAAAAGAAAAAGGGTCAAATACACCCTCCTACTATATCAAAAACATCACTTCACCCCTTCTACTAAAAAAACATCACATTAATACACTTACCATTAAAAAAACATCAAATGAGTCAAGTTACCTGCTGGCAACTCCCTATGACCGGTCATTAGTTTTCTTCCCCATTTTCTCTTCTTTCGTGTCTTGCACAATGCACAATACTCCGTATAAACGATGTTATACGTACGTAGTTTTCAAATCCCAAACTCTGGATGGCTTTCATTCTTTTTTTTTTTCTCTCTTTTCTTTTTCTTTCTTTTTATTTTTTGTTTTTTCTCGAATGTTCAAATTTCTCTTCCATTTTTTACTTTGCTTCTATTATTTGCTCACTCCTATTTTTAATTTTGTTTGCTACACTTTTTAGGAAGTATTTTTCATTTGTTATACTTTCTCTTTTTGGTATTTTTTTGAAATTTTGTCTAATTTTCAAATTCTTTTGTTTTATTTTGTCTACTTTTCATATTCTTTTTCATAATTTTTAATTCTTCTCCTACTTTTTAATACTCCGTACTATTCATTACTCTCACTTATTTAATAACAATAATAATTAGATACTCACAAAATTATTTCAGACAAGGCAAAAATGTTGTATGATTTTCATTCACATTTTAAAAATCTTTTTCACAAATAAATTTTGTCTATAAATTTAATCTATAAACAAAAAATTCCGGATACATTCAGTTTTATAAATAAAAAAAATTAGTTGGACTTTTGACAAATCTAACTTTATTAGCATAAATGTTTGACACCGATAAAAGTGCTTCAGACAATACCAAAGATTGTCCTACTTCGGTTTGTCACAACTTTTAATAAATTATTAATAAAGTGATTGAAAAAGTAAAATTGTGTTTGTCATTTGAATATAATAAAGTGAAATATTCTAGACCACATTTTTCTTTCCTAAAAGAAAATGTGACACTTATTTTGGAATACAGTAAACCAGGTAAAATGGGACGAAGAGATATAATCGTCTGCAAATTCACTTTTATAAAAAAAAATGTCTAGTACGGACAAAAATATGTTTCTGACCAGATTTTAAGGTTTTTTTGTACACATTTTTCAAAATCTTTCTCACTGACATTTGTTTTTGTAAAGTTAGGGTAAAGAAAAAAAATATCGATAAAAAAATTCACTTTTACATCCAATTTTATAGACTAAAAATTTCACTCACAATTTTTTACAAAAATGTATACGGAGTATGTTTTAAACATTTTGAAAGTTTTTTGCATAGATAAGTTTTCGAGTAAAGTTATGTCACGGAAAAAATGTTAGCGAAAATTCACTTATACAAACAATAAATGTCTCGTACGGACAAAAATGTTCCAGGTGAGATTCAAAGTTCTATTTTTTGGACACATTTTTCATAATCTTCACAGCCAACATTTTTTGTTTACAAAGATAGGGTACACGCAATATTTACAGAAAGTAGTAAGATTAATGAATAATGTAGATAAATTAGGAGAGAAAGTGAAAAAATATAAAAAAGAAAATTATATAACGAGAGTATATATTAATGAAAAGTCATTAAAATAGAAAAAGAATTTTAGATTCTCCATTTACGATTTTTTTATTTAAATAAGTGAAGTAAAGTAAAACAAGCAGGGAGACAAATTTTTACATTATACTCCATACGAACTACTCTTATATCGAGTAAAAAGTTAAAAACTAAAAAGAAAGAAAATGAAAAGAAGAAAACACAAATGAAGAAAGAGCGTAAGACAGCCAGAATATTGGGAATTCGTATGCAAGGGATTATGAAGTACTGCGTAGTACAAAAGATGCGAAAGAAATATGGTAAAAGTAAATAAAAACTGGAAAACATATATCAAATCAAGTGATGACCGGCTGTACATAGTTGTAATCAGGTAACTTGACCCAATTGATCCTTTTTCAATAGTAAGTGTATTAATGTGATGCTTTTTTTTTTAGTAGAAGGGTTGAAGTGATGTATTAGGCATAGTAGGAGGGTGTATTTGACCCTTTTTCCATAAAAAAATCACATCTATCAAATCCCACTAACTTTATTTATATTGTGTGCAATAATTTTTTACCGCCTCCCCTTCTCGGCCAAGCACCCAACGGTGTTATTGGAAAGTCAAAGCATTTTTAGCCTTGCATTAAAAAGCGATCCAGATCAACCCGGGAAATATTTTTTGGAATAGAGGGAGTACCTATTTTGGATCAGAGTAAATAAATGTGATTTAGAGAAAAAGGTAAAATTTAATTGTTTGGCAAAATAACAATTATAGTGTATTCTTACCCATTCCATATCAAAAGTGCTTGTGTACTTTCAAGGCTACAATAAGTACGCCACTCACAAATATTTTAAAAATTTAAAGGCATATATTATCCGTTCAAATGTGAAAACTTACTCAAACTTGAAATACATCTCCAGAATTCCAGATGGCCAAGTCAGGTTGACAACTATAGTGTTACAAGTTTAAACCAGCAATCACAACTGTAAAGAGCATCAACCAGTCTCTAAAATAGCGGTGCATCATCACCGGCCTTTGGCCTTGACGAACTTAGTTCTTGAAGCCTTCCTTTCCATCTTCTCTCTCTTTTTCCGAGTCTTCTCATCTTCTTCCGCACTCTGTGAAACCATTAGCAACCCCCATAGAAAATCAAGAGCGAATTGTAAGATACTACCATGATAACCAAACAGGGTTTGATAGATATGTACCTCCGAACCACTTGACAAAAATCCTTTGAGGAATCCGGATGATTTGTATACTGCAAATCCTGGTATCTGGAAATCAAAACTATGAGTCCATGACCCAATCAAATCTTCATATACAAAACATAAAACCCATGCACATTCACGTGCACTCTTGCAGGTACCACTCAGCGTCAAACAGAAAAATTGACCAGTAGATTATAACACTTGCATTCATTAAAAAAGCCACTAAAAAATGCGTAGCACATTCACTTGCATAAAAAATATGGCTCTAGCTCTGGCAACCTTTTAAAGGTTGGCAAGTTTGTACTAGTTTAAAAGCTACGTGTGATAAAAAGTACAAACTTAAGCTTACTAACTACATGCTTAATTAACAATGACACTGTAATGAAGCTGATGTTTGTTAGGAAGGGAAAAAAAGAAATTGTGAAGCTTACCACTAGGTATGTGTACCAAAACTTGCCCGACAAGATAGATGCAAGTTGAACAAAACAGGTGATATAGATTACATCATGCAAGTATCTGCAAGAATAAACCAAATGTAAGCCAATTCCATTTAACGGCATTCAAAAAACAAGCATAAATTACTTCAGCTGTATATCTATGCAAGGACCCTGAAAGGACTTTGTTAACAGATTTTTTCCCATTTCAATTCAATGTTCCTTCTTTCACCATGTTGCTACGGAAGACAAGTTGTTGGGATAACACTTTTCATAAGTTTCTTCTGCATCAACAAGACATTATAAAGTAGTTTTTTGCTATAACAAATCAAATTACATTTGGACTTAAAACAGAAACAAAACCATAAAATAGAGCTGGTAACAAATGATATCATACGGAAGGCAAAAAAGGGCACCGTAATCTATCTTCCAAAAATAACATAGTAATTACTTTCCTTGAAACTAAACAATATCTTGTTTTTTTTATTATCATATCATACGCGAATATATGATACAAGATACTGAGACTCAAATCTCAATCTAGAAGCTCAAGTGGATACGAAAGCAGCCCAAAATATACGGAGTATATCTTTATATTAGGCCGACGTGGATGACTTAACACAAAACAACTAGAAACCATCTGAATATCTAATTAAAGGAATGCTACTTAATATATATTAATAAATATAAAGGTACCCGCAAACTCCTCCAGTACTCATATCATATCCTCCGTCAAGGAGTTCCCCATCAGAGCCGTAACTAGGCTTAGCCATGGCGGCTAACTGTTGGTAAGGCAAAAAGTAGGCTATAGAAGTGAATATTAGCCCAACCCCGTGCATCCATGACAAACTAGAGTAGAAAATCCCAAATCTCACCAACAGATAAACAACCTATATAAGCATACGAAAATTAGATAGTCAGTTAACAGTAACACTTAACAGAAGAAAAGAAAAAACTAAATAATAATTTCCGCAACTAATTAATAGTAAAAATTATAAGAATAAGGTATACGTTACAGAAAAGGATTGTGTGATGGAGTGTCCTCATATGCCGAATGTTCTCTTCTTTGCGCTTTTTTGCTCCTTGATTCGCCATCAAGACGGGGTACCTTCTCAAAAAATTAGATATCATATTAATGAGCAATATCACAATTAAAATAGTTGTCAGGTAAAGAGCATCTCGCAATTATACATGGCAGGTAATTTATACTGGATTATCTACTTCTTGTTATTGTTTGCAATACACCACTGAGCCACTCCACTAAGAGTGCCTTATCAGCTAATAAACCACCAACCCGATCGGTTAAGAGTGAAAACTTGGTAATAAAACCATGGTCCAGATTTGGTAAAGGATAATGAAGTTGCTCAAATTGAAGCTGAAACAACTCATACCTGAACTTGAGATAATAATTAAATCATTATTTAAAAAAATACTACTTCAGACCTTGAATCAGTGTTGAGCTAGTGGTTTCACCACAAACAACAAGCTTTTGATCATATAAATATGGATGGTGACCATGAATCAGCTCAGTCATCACATCTGTATAAAACAATACCGGCATCCTATGACAGGACCTAGAATATTTAATGCATTCAGGGTAGTCATTGGTGCAAATGGCGATTACCATTTGTTGCCATTGGCTTTTGGAAGGGTCTTCAACTTTTCGCCACAAACCCTGATGGTGTGCCCCCTTGACAACGACCATGGACAAAAGCGTGAAATAAGAAAGTGAAAGGCTTTTTGCTCAGGGATCTAACAATTGAATTCCGTGTGGTATGGCTTTGGAGAGGGAAAAGTGGAGGGCAAATATTCATGTGGAGGATTGATCTTTTTTCTCTCTTTTTTCTTTTACCTTTTCATACTCTTTAGCTTTCTTATGTTCTTTATCCTATTTATTATATATATATATATATATATATATATACACGGAAAAGATCCTGTCCAGCTGGAGGGATAGGATCCTCCGTCCGGCCGCCGCCGTTTGAGGCGGTTCCCAGTAGAGGTTTTTGATGAAATTTTTATGGAATGTTCCTCATGAAGTCTAGTTTACCCACAAAAAATTTCAGCTAAAAATTCGATTGGGAAGGCAGTCAAATAATTTTTTGAAACATAACTGCGTTTTATATGTTTAATTTGGCGCAATTATCTTCAAAAAATTATTTGACTGCCTTCCCGATCGAATTTTTAGCTGATTTTTTGTGTGGATAAATTAGACTTGATGAGGAACATTCCATAAAAATTTCATCAAAAAACTCCACCGGGAACCACCCCAAACGGCGGTGGCCGGGCGGAAGATCCTGTCCCTCCGGCTGGACAAGATCATTCCGCTATATATATATATATTCTTTTTTTCCTTCTTATCTTGTCACTTTTATCTTTATCCTATATTTATCTTTATCTTTTATTTTTATCTTTATCTTATTCTTTTTATCTTACCTTATCTTTTTATCTTTCTTATATTTCTTTTCTTTTTGGCTACGATATCATGTGTCGATTCATGTTAGCCAAGCCCAAAATCTTTTGGGACTAAAGGTCGAATGTTGTTTTGTATTTGAATTCCGTATGTGCAATGTGCATTGTAGTAGAACTTCCAGTATAATTTATAAATATGTAAGTTTTATTTATTCATATTAATTTTAATATTAGCAGAATAGAGTCAATTTATCATCTGACAAACAATCAACCATATTAAATGGGATTTTTTTGGGACTGAGGTAGCCGTTTAGGAAAATATCAAATTGTTCTATGCATAACTGGATGCAGCATCGTCAAATACAAATGTGAAGTAAATTGTACTGCAACTAACTACAGAATTAGTAAGCACAAAATGGAATTCTGGATCAGCTGCAGAATTCCATTTAGAAGAAAAAAACTCAAATATAAGTTGCAGTATCTTACGACTGCAAGAGAATAGAGATGTCAACACGCTATGAAGCATGGAAACTCTGGAAAAAAGTAAGTTTCCGATTCGGAAACTCTTTGGAAACTCTATAAACAATTGGTTTTTGTTAAAATATAACATTTCCGGTTTCTTCATGTTTCCATGCAACATAGTCAATACGCCATTACATATCTCTGACGCTATACACCACAAAGCAGAAGATCATAGCTATGCATAGTCCAAGTATTCCAAATAATAATCACAGTTCCTACTACCAATTTCAAAATTCAATTGAAATTTTTAATTCTTTCTTACATGTCAACACAATAAATAAATAAATAAAGAAAGAAAGAAATAGTTCTCTAATCTTCAATTGTATAATAAATAAATCATTCTCTAATCTGTAATTCTAACTTTAATAATCATTATAAATGTAAAATGAATAAAAACTACGAAGTATTTATTTATGTACTGAAAAATTCAATTAATAATTAAATATATTTACAAAACTAAAAATAATAATACACAATGACACAAAGTCACAAAATATTAAATTAAAAGTCTAAAAGAGTAACATTTAATAATACCTGGTCAGCTTGAGCTGGAGGCAGAACCGCAGGTCCCAGGCGCCGATTCGGAGAGGAGAGCCGGAGAGGGATGGCGGCCGATGCGGAGGCGCAGGGCCCTGGACTCGTGGACGGCGGCGCGATTGCTGGCCGCAGGTAGGCTGGGCCCGGTGTTCGTGTCTTCGCCGCAGCTCACAGCGTCGCTCACAAATTCGTCTCTTGGACCTTCGTTCTTCACTTCATCCGTTTCTTCGCAAATTGCAAGGCCGCAGCCCGCAGGTAAGGAACTCGTAGTCTTGAGGTGGGCTGAGCTGGGATGGGCTAGCTATTAATTTTTTGCGGGTTAGTTATCATGTTTATCACTCAATTTTTTAATCAAACACGCAATTTTTGATTACGTCCATTGAATTGGGTAATACTCTGTAATAAGAAAGAATATAGTTGAAGTTACTTTTCTGATTGTATTGGCTGGAGTTACTGTATACGATCATTTTAACTATTTTTTCATTTAATTTTTTCTTTATTTTATTTAAAATATATTTTAAATATAATTTCTTTTCCCAAAAAACAGCAGAATCAGCCAATACAACCACTTCAACAAGAATTTCATAAATTTCAGTAGAATCAGTTAATTCAACCGATTTTAGTGTTACCAAACGAGCTCTTTAAACCCATGCCTATAATAATAATTGGAACAACTAGCTAACATGCTTCTAACTTTATATAATAGAGTCCTATTAATTTTTTCTGCTATCACATTCTGTTGGGGAATATAAGACACAATTTTGTGGAGTAAAAGGTCAGATTGGTCCTCGAAGTTGCATAAAAAGGGTCAAATAAGTCCTTATATTGGAGGCTCTGTCTGGCCGTCGCAATTTGGAACCGTTCCCGGTGGATTTTTTTGATGAATTTTTTTAAACATCTTATTCATTATGTCTAGTTTACTCATACCAAATTTCAGCTAAAACTTCAATCGGGAAGGCGTTCAAATTTCATTACTACTCTTTTCATTAATTACATTTTTGTAAACAATATTTATTTTAGTCATAAATAGATAATTATATATTAACAAATCCTATTGATTATCAAATAAATGATAAATATATTTCGAAAGTAGAAATGATTTCTCTTTTTTATGTTTAACAAAAAAAATTAGTAATATGAGGGAAAGTATAAAAGTTTAGCATAATTTGGGAAAGTGTCAAAGTGCGAAAGAGAAAGACAAGGAGCCCGTTTGGTAGCATGAAAATTGGTTGTTTTGGTTTATTCTGATGAAATTTATGAAGTTCTGGCTGAAGTGGCTGGATTGGCTGAAATTTAAGAAAACATTATTTTTAAAATATATTTTATTAATAAAATAAAGAAAAAATTATATGTTAAAATAGCTAAAATGATCATCTACAATAACTTCAGCCAATACAGAAAAAAAAGTAACTTCAACCTTACTTTTTCTGTTTATCACACAATTTAATACGCGAAAACAAAAATTTTGTGTTTGAAGAAAATTGAAAAAGAGTAGTTGTCAACGATCTCAAGATCCGCTTTGGGCCAAAACATTTTTAAACATTACGCCGTAATTGTCTGGAAAAGCAATCAGATATTCAGCTCCACAGACTTTTCACGATGAATAATCAACGGTAACATAGAAAAAGAGATGGGGAGGCGCACACCGTAAATTGTGATCCGAGACGCAGACGATTAAACCTAGACGCATCACTATAAATCGCAATTATCTCTGAACAGTGTCACACCATTGGTTTCCAACAGAGCTCCTGCTTTCTCTCTCGGCCACTGTTCACTCCATAGATCGAAGGTAACCCTCTTCCATCCCCGGCTCTATATAGCTCGATCTATCATTTCTTAATGTGAGATTTGTTTCTTCGCGTGAAGGTCTGAACTTTAATGGCATCCTGTATATATGCATTTCACCTTCGTTGCTCTAATCATTGAGCATCTATCGATTTGAATTTATTTAAATCTTTCGATATTCGATTTGTCGTTTTCTACTGGTGTGCATCTGCTCCTGAATGCTCAAAGCTTTGTTTGACGCGATTATTGTATTCTTTTCCGGTTTGCTTACAGATCTGTCCATAAATTTGATTGATTTGTTAATTTTCTATGTTTAAGTTTCTTAGAGATCCGATCGACCATCTTCTGCTTTATAAATACGAAAAAGACGTTTTCTGTACGTTTCACTAAGTTTGAGATGCGTATGAAATGATTTTATTCTTTTTCTTTGAGTAAATGCAAATATATTGTGTTCAGATGTTGGAGGTTTTCAGTGACGAGACTGTGTATATTCATCTTTACCATGTTGTTTATGCTTTGTTACTTGTTTGAGATGTGTATTTATGCGTTTGATTGCTCCAGCTTTGAAAGAATACTTTGATAAATTAATGTATAACCTTGTGTATCAAAATAGAAGAATGATAAAAACTGAAAGTGAATTTGAAACAAAATTAAACCGGTGGGGGTAATGGGAATGGGTTTTGCCTTTACTGTTGTGCAACCCATGGCACAAAAAAGTTTTCTTTTTAACACTAACATGATAGAATGCTCACATATTACTCTTTAAGGTGATATACTGAACCTTTGGCAGTTCAATATCTATAAATAGCATTTAAGGCCTAACAGATGGAGTGGACCATGTTAGCGTTTTGATTGGTTTAAACATGTTTGGTGACTGATCTTTGTTGTGTTCCCTTCTCAGGAGTTTGATATTGAACACAATGGCCGATATTTACCAGCACCCCACTATCTTTCAGAAGGTTGGTTACCAGGTACACCTTAGCTCAAGTGCTTCCCAAGATGCTGTAGCCTTACATGGGGGAGCACAAAGTCCTGCTGTCTATCACAGGAAATATGGAAACTACACCAATGCAGGATTGCATTCATTCCAAACCTTCAAGGACCGATCTCTGATCGCTGCAAATGCTTCACCAGTTTTTGTGCAGGCTCCCTCTGAGAAAGGATTTGCAGGTTTTGCTATTGACTTTCTTATGGGTGGTGTTTCTGCTGCAGTTTCCAAGACTGCAGCCGCCCCTATTGAGCGGGTTAAACTTTTGATTCAAAATCAAGATGAGATGATCAAATCTGGGAGGCTCTCTGAACCTTACAAGGGGATTGGAGATTGTTTTGGCCGAACTATTAAGGATGAGGGAATCATGTCATTGTGGAGAGGAAACACAGCTAATGTCATCCGTTACTTCCCCACTCAGGTTAACAATTTTATCATTGAATCTCTTGAAGCAATGACTTTACATAATCAGGCAATAAATATTATATTAATGTGTATTGTAGGCACTGAACTTTGCTTTCAAGGACTACTTTAAGAGACTCTTCAACTTTAAGAAAGACCGTGATGGCTACTGGAAATGGTTTGCTGGAAACCTTGCCTCTGGTGGTGCTGCTGGTGCTTCTTCTTTACTCTTTGTGTACTCATTGGATTATGCTCGTACTCGCCTGGCTAATGATGCCAAGGCTGCAAAGAAGGGAGGTGAAAGGCAATTCAATGGTTTGGTTGATGTCTACAAAAAGACACTTGCTTCTGATGGTGTTGCTGGACTTTACCGTGGCTTTAACATTTCATGTGTTGGCATCATTGTGTATAGGGGTCTTTACTTTGGTTTGTACGACTCCATAAAGCCAGTTGTCCTAACTGGAAACTTACAGGTTTGTTCTTTTCTGTTTTACTAAGTATATTCCTTGTTGCATCTTTTTACGTTCCTGTTGGTAAGGACTTTTGTCTTAAATGGATTATATAGCTGAAATTGGCTGATTTGGCTGAATTGATTATATGGATTTTATGAAAAGAAAAGCCTTTATTTAATCAGTCTCATCCAAATAAGTTGGGGAGATTTTTCTTGTGAGCAGGGATTTGTGTTAGATTATAAAAAAATTCTTACTTGTAAACGTTTGAAAAAATGTTTTTGAAAAGGTTGAAGTTGGAGGGTTTGGTAAACATGTTTTTTACTTTTGGTTTAGTATTAGGTTAGATTGTTGTAGGATAAATGCAAAGCTATTTCAAGCACTTCTACTTAACTTTTAGCTATAAAGTATTCAAATTCATACAGAAGCTCCTTGTTAACACTAACTTTTAGCAATTTCAAGCACTTCTACCTCTACTTCTACTTAACTTTTAGGTTTTGAACCAAAGAAAAATGCTTTTATAAGCAGGTGCAAACATTCTTTAAATAAATTGGCTGGTGCTATCAAAGAGGATAAGTACTTTTGTGGTAGATTACTTCGAACCTGTTCACCGAATGAGCTCTAAGATTTAACAGTTCCCTTTTTTTAATATTTGCAGGATAGTTTCTTTGCCAGCTTTGCTCTTGGTTGGCTGATTACAAATGGTGCTGGACTTGCTTCATACCCTATTGATACTGTCCGTAGAAGGATGATGATGACATCTGGTGAAGCAGTCAAGTACAAAAGCTCTCTTGATGCCTTCTCTCAGATCCTCAAAAACGAGGGTGCAAAATCCCTCTTCAAGGGGGCTGGTGCAAACATCCTCCGTGCTGTTGCCGGTGCTGGTGTTCTAGCAGGATACGACAAGCTTCAGGTGATTGTGTTTGGAAAGAAGTATGGCTCTGGTGGGGCTTAAAATTTATTTTGGTACTCTTTAGCGTTTCTAAGATGGTGATGAAAATGTTGGAGTTTAAAATTAAAAACCCATTATATTTGAAATAGTTCCCATTTGAATAACTCATTTCTAAGAGGGCTTGAAAACCAATCCTTTCTTTTCTTTATGTTTCTCGAGGTTATTTCATTTTTGCAGACTTTTAGTTATCGAGGGTTTACAGATTGTAGTGGAGAGTACATTTTTACATCTTGCAATGTAATTGTTACTCCTACAATTTAATGCAATTTTTTTCCTGTTTTTGCATTCATTCTCTGAATTTTCATATTGTCCGTCTTTGGCTTCGTTCATCTTAGTTCTTAACTCATACATTTTGACTCAGGTCTACTTGAATTAGACCTGAGTGGAATTTTAAACAAACTACGTAGTGTAGTTTTTTATAGTGCAAGTTTGTTTTGAAGTAACATAATTAATGAATAAATATTGCAAATAAATCAAATTTATGCATCTATATTATGCACATTTGGTCTACAAATTTTGAGCCCTAGCTATACAATACTAGGGATGGACCCGGGCCGGTTCCGGGCCGGGCCCGGGCGGGCTTTTTTTCGGGTTACATGGGCCCGGAACCGGCCCGGGTTGATACCGGGTCCGGGCCTAACCGGGCCGGGCCGGGCCGGGCCCGGTTCAATGTTTTTTTTTTTTTTTACTTTCTTGTTATCTCCCTACCCCCCACCCCCATGCCCCAAACCTCCCTAAAACACCCAGCCCTACCCTAGGAAAAGAAACAAAATTGAAAAAAACCAAAAAAAAAAAAAAAAAATGAACCGGGCCCGGCCCGAACCGCCCGGGCCGGTTCAACAAAAATAGGGCCCGGAACCGGCCCGCCCGACCCGCCAACACGGGCTAAAAGCCCGGAACCGGCCAACCGGGCCCGCACAGTAGCGGGCCGGTCCGGTTCCGGGCCGGTTCGACCCGGCCCAGTCCATCCCTAGCTATACATGAGCAATAGAGCACGCCGTTGTCTTTGGTGCTGTGACTTTAGGGTAGTGCCGGATTTGGTTCGGGCCACCTGGCCCGTGACCCGGCCCGCTACTGTGCGGGCCTGAGACCGGCCCGGTCTGGTGGTCCGGGTAGATACCCGAACCGGGGGTGTAGCTGGGGCGGGCTCGGTTCTTACAAAAGGTGACCCGGCCAGGCCCGATTCGGGCAAAATTGATTTTTTTTTTTGTTTTTTCATTTTTTTTTGGGTTCCACCCGGGTTGGGCTTGATGTTTAGGAGGGGTTTGGCCATTTGGGGGGTGAGGGATACTTAGGAAAGCAAAAAAAAAAATCGAATCCCAGCCCGGACCCGGACCGGACTGGACCCGGTAGCTGCCCGGGCCGATCCTAGGCCCAACTATTCAGAACTGGCGGGCCGGCGGCCCTTCTGGGCCTAGGCCCGGACCTGACTCGGCCCGAATCCAGCCCTACTTTGGGGTTGTATTAAAAGGAGATTTTTTTAGACATTTTATGATTTCAAAAAGCTTGGTGTATTTAAGCAAGAGATTTTAAGACATTTTGCTTGAAATTTGCTGCAATATGTTCCAGCCATGAAAGAGTTACGAATGATCTAGTATTCATCTTCATTACAATGTGTTTAGTCATGGACCCGGTTCGGGCCGGAACCGGCCCGGCCCGCTACTGTGCGGGCCCGGAACTGGCCCGGTGCTCGGGTCCGGGTCGGGCCTAGGCCCGGTGGTGGGTAGGGGTGGACTCGGGCCGGGCGGCCCGGCCCGGTTACTGTTTGGCCCGGCCCGGTGGGTCCACCGGTTCGGTTCGGCCCGGCCCGGTTGCTGGGCGGTCCGGGCTCGGGCCCAGTTTTTGGTGAACCGGCCCGGCCGGTTCGGGCCCGGTTCGGGCCGGTTTTTTTTTTTTTTTTTTTTTTTTTTTGATTTTTTTTTAAGTTTTGGGTTGGTTTAGGTATTTTGGGCCATTTAAGGTGGTTTGGGGTGGTTTGGGGTTGAGGGGGAGGAGTTGGGGGTTAAATAGAAGAGCCAAAAAAAAAAAATTAGAACCGGTTAGGCCCGGCCCGGCCCGGTTTGGCCCGGAACTGGGACCGGAACCGCCCACCGGCGGTTCGGGCTCGGGCCCAACTTTTCTGGCCCGAGGCCCGGCCGGGCCCTGGCCCGAACCGGCTCGAGTCCACCCCTGGTGGTGGGGGGCGGGTCCGGGCTCGGGCCTTGTATTTGGCGAACCGGCCGGGTCCGGGCCGAATTGATTTTGTTTTTTATTTTTTTTTTCATTTTTTGGGGTTACTCGGGTTGGGCTTGATGGTTAGGAGGGGTTTGAGGGGGGTGAGGGGGGGGGGGGGGGGGTAGGAAAGCAACAAAAAAAATTGAGCAAACCAGAGGCCCAGCCCGGCCCCGGCCCGGACCCGGTGGCTTCCCGGGCCGGTCCCGGGCCTTCCTTCCCAAAAAAAAAGCCCGGCCGGGCCCAGGCCCGAACCGGCCCGAGTCCACCCCTGGTGGTGGGGGGCGGGTCCGGGCTCGGGCCTTGTATTTGGCGAACCGGCCGGGTCCGGGCCGAATTGATTTTGTTTTTTAATTTTTTTTTTCATTTTTTGGGGTTACTCGGGTTGGGCTTGATGGTTAGGAGGGGTTTGAGGGGGGTGATGGGGGGGGGGGGGGGGGTAGGAAAGCAACAAAAAAAATTGAGCAAACCAGAGGCCCGGCCCCGGCCCCGGCCCCGGCCCGGACCCGGTGGCTTCCCGGGCCGGTCCCGGGCCTTCCTTCCCAAAAAAAATATAGTACATATATTCTTCATATGTCTTTGGTTGAAATCCATCTAAATCCATATAAATGTCTTCTAAAATCTCATATTTATATAAATCTAAATGTCTACAAAAGTTCCAAATGAATAAACTTCTGTTTTCGGTTAGTTGCTCATTTGTTGTTGCCCACTCCTTCCCGATCATTTGCTAATCTCTTTGGTTTGAGGGAATTGAGAGGGGAAGGATGGGAATATATTAAATTATTAATAGTATTAAGATGATCTGAAATAAACTTGAAGATCTATCTAACATTTAGGAATAGACGGTTTAAGAAAATATTTACTCCCTCTTGTGGCGCCGTGTTTTTTTTCCCATTTTTGCCAACTTTTTTGTCTCAAAAAATCTAGATTATTTGTGCCTTTCGAAATCATCCATAATATATACATGTTTAGTATCAATGCAATTGTACTTTTTATTATTTGAACACCATGGTATATATAACTATATAAGCATAAGTCTTCTATTGAACATCAAAGTTTAAAATGGATCAAATAAGAATTAATTTAACAAAAATCTTTAATTTTGTTAATTCAATTTAACACAGCTATTTCCAAAAAGTTCAGTAAAGTCAAAATTATATTTTCAACTATTTAGTTATGAGATGTTCTTAATTAAAATGTTGAATTATATATTCTATAACTATTTAGTCAAGTTAGTTTATTGACACAAAAAAAGCAAGAGAATTAGGATTTACGAATTCTATTGAAGATTGTCTAAAAATGAAGAATTAGTAAATATTAATGATCAAAATGGACTATGAAAATTTAATGAAATCTTAACTATAATGTCTAATTTGATCTACATGAAGTCTTAATGACTAATATGAGATTTACATTTAATTACATTGTCTAATTTGATATTTCTCACTTTCCAAATTAGTCTAAACTTCTTACCTCACCCTCTATGGGAAATGGGCACATCAAAATCCACAATAGTAAACACCTAAAAACTTTTTTCCAAAAAACCACACAAATCCATACACCAAAATTCATACACAACCACCATAAAGAGAGGGTGAGCCTGTGAGGTATATGTAGTGGATTATGTATGGATAATAACTTTTCATATTATATGTGAATTGTAGTAGTTTTTTTAATCCATGGACTTTGAAAAAGTAAATTAACTTTAAAGTTCAAATTTTTTTATGAATAAATTCTTTTGATTTGCATAAATCTATGGATTTCATATGCGTAATATTTATCAATTTTATGAAAAACACAATATAAACAAGAACTATGATAAGTAACATTCATAAGTTTAAACGTCTTAAGAGGTCAACTGCATGTTTTATGCGAATCCAGTAATGTTGACTTGTACAAGAATAAATCAAGTCTAATCATTCGTATTTTATTTTTATCACAAAACTCAAAATTAAGAGGTCAAATTCGGTCTCATTCCGACTCATCATTGTTATACTACACTAGTCAATGAGTAAGAATGATAATCACTACACAACTAGTCAATTGTTATCATTGTTACATATGGACGAGCACAAGTGTAGTAGAGCTTTTCTTCTTAATACTACCTAATCGTTTCCTGTTAACTTTTTAGCTTATTAAAATTTATTTACTTATTTATGATTAAATATCACCTTCATGGCAAAATGACACGACCATTTAGACAATATTTTTTTGGAAGAATTAATATTGAGAAATAATTTTAATAGGTATATTATATAATGGGGTTAATGTTGATAATTGTGATGTTATAAATGTATTATTTTTAATATTTAATGATTAACTTTTCATTTAAGATTGTTAATTGTTTCCTAAATTGAAAATGAGAACCCTTTATATGAGATGTCTAAAAAAAGAAAGTGAGAACCTTTCTATAGGACGGAGAAACTATATTTTTAATCGTTAATGGTTAACCGATGAGATATAAAATTTGCAACAACACGATACTATCGGTGTTTTTCAAAAAAATATTGAACTGATATTATATTAAAGGTTCATTAAATGATTCCTAATTCTCTTTCAAAGAACCAATCCGATCTCATCCACACTTTTTCTTCATCAAATAAAAAATTAAAAATATATATTTTAATTTTTAATTTTTAAATTTTAATTTATTTCATGTATGAGTATTTATGTGGTATATGTTTATCTCCTTGTTCAAATTTATTTATTGTAAATAAAATAGCAGGTTTAAAAAAAAACAGGTTTTATTTATGCCACCGAATAAATAAATATAGGGAAAGTTCCCAAAATCGGACTAAAACAGTTTGGAAATTCCAAAATAGGACTGTCATGCTTTTTATTCCCAAAATAGGAGTAATTACTGTCAAGTTTGGAAAATACTGCCATGTTTGAAGTTTGGTACTGCCAAAACATGACAGTAATTAGTCCTATTTTGGGAATAAATACATGACAGTCCTATTTTGGAATTTTCAAACTTTTTTAGTCCTATTTCGAGTAATATCTCATAAATATATATATATATGCAAATATATATATGGAGCCAGGATGTTTATAATACTTCTAGGCTGTTGTGTTGAAA